TTATTTTACTTCCCTATCTTTATATTTATACTATTTTACATACATTTATACAATTTTGTAGGATCTTACGATCCGTGTTACGATCCTACGAGTTACGATCTTTCATCCCCTCTCCGATCCCACGTAGAATCTCGATTTTAACTACCATGGTCACACCAGATCAATGGTGGTCTAGTGACTTTAATTCTGAGTTGAATGAGTAAAGACTTTAGCCAACGTATTTTTGCTACAAGTGAGGCCATACTTCTAAATTCAGCTTTAGTACTGCTTTAGGGGTGTTAGTAGGTTGTGTTGAGGTTTGAGAAGGGATAATACGTACTGGAAGTTAGATTGTGGGTATAGTGAAAGGATAGGTGAAAGTAGTTTGTAGGGTTTAAGAATTGACGAAGAAGAACTTAGGATTGATTTGTAGCGGTTAAGTGGTTTCATCAAACACCATGTGCCTAATAGTGTATATGTGGCCAGAAGAAGTGATACAATTATAACCTTTATGTTTGGAACTATAGCCTAGGAAGACACAAGGTTGTGACCAAAGATCCATTTTGTGTCGATTGTTAGGCCTTAGGTAGGGAAAACATAAGCAGCCAAAAGGTGTAAACCTAGAGTATTCTGGTGCTTTAGAAAATAGAGTTTCATACGGAGATATACCATTAAGAATCAGAGTTGGAAGACAGTTGATGATGAATGTGGCAGTGCCAAAAGTATCAGCCTAATACTTTGGAGGTAATGAAAAGGCTGCAAGTAAAGTCAATCCTGATTCTGTCACATGCTTGTGCTTCCTTTAAGCAGCTCCATTTTGTTCATGTGTGTAGGCATAACTGAACCTGTGGAGTATGCCATTTGCAGTGAGGTATTTTGTCATTGCAATGTATTATTTTCTAGCATCAGACTGAAGAATCTTTAGTTTACTATCAAACTATAACTCAGCCATAAATTTAAAATGTAAAAAGGCTATCATTACCTCAGACCTGTTATGTAAAAAGAAAATTCATGTAAATTTACTATGTGCATCTAAAAATAGTATATAGTATCTATAACCCTGTCTAAAAGATTTTGGAGAAGGCCCTAAATATCACTGTATACTAGTTCAAAAGGCTTAGTGTAAATAGTGTCAGAATCATAGAAAGGAAATTTGTGCGATTTCTCCAAAGAACATGCAGAACAAACAAATGTTTTATTAATATTGTGAACAGAAATATTACAAAGTCTCATCACATGTGATCAACTTTGTGTGAAGGGTGACCTAATCTAGCATGCCATAGGTCAGCATTATTTAAGAAAATAGTACTATGAAAAATAGAAAAATTTGAACTAGAACTAATTAGAAGCATCATCTTAAGGTTTTCTAGAGCATATAATCCTTGTCTTGCTGATCCTTTAAGAACTTTCCTTGTGTTCTGACATTTAATACAGAAATCATTAGCACCAAACTCAAAAATAACATTGTTATCACGACCAATTGATTTACACTGGTAAGATTCTTTGTGATGTTACGAACATGTAGTAAATTGTTCAAATTGAATTTGAAAGTGGAGTGTTTAGAGAGAAAAGAGGTGTGGCTAGCATGTAAAATGCTTAGACTGTTATCGTTGACCATGTGAACTCGTTCCTCACCATTGTAATCAGATTTGATCATCAAGTTATTAAGATCATGGGTCAAATGGTTCATTGCTCATGTATCTGAGTACCAAATTTTATCAAGATTGGCGTGAGCAGTAAAGGATGCAACCATGGCTTGAGGTTGCTAATTGTTAGAATATGAAGGATTGTTTGTAAGTGAAGGTTCTTCAAGCTGCTCATCAAAACGATACCAGCAATGATATGCAATGTGACCAAGTCTTCCATAGAGTTGGCACTGAACTCTTCCTCCTTTTCCTTGACTAGAATTATTATTATTTGTTCTTCTCCTGCGATTAGAAGTTCTGCCTTGGCCACGACCTCGATTTGGAGTGGTATAACCTTTCTTGTAAGGTTGTTTTTTTGCCATATTAGCTTGAAGAGGAGTGATGTCACGTTGTTTCCTCTTCTCCAAATGCTCTTCTTAATGCATCAAGAGAGCTTCTATTTCTGAGACAGAATAGGTTTAGCCCTTGTAATACAGGAGGTGATAAATCCATCGTACTTCTCCAGTAATCTGTCAAAAAATTACATCAATATGTTCCTTTGGGGTCAACGAAGATCCAATTGCAGATAAGGTTTCAACAAATTGTTTAATTTGAACAAGAAATTTAGTAAAAAAAACCTTATTTTTGTATTGAACGAAACTGAGTTTTTAGTTATTTTACCTGTGCGTGCATCTACGAGGAAAAATATACCTTTACAGTCTGCCAAATTTCATAGAACAAACACAACCTACCGCGCGAACTTAAATTAAGCCTCCATCAACTTGAGGAGCCAAGATTTGAGAAGACAGTCTTGTTGTTCATAATTCTTAACTTCAGGGTTAATAATGCCTTTTGCCTCATCTTCTTTTGAGAGATACTGTGTTGGAATGGATTCTTGTCCAAGAATATGTTTTTTCTACCGAAAACCTTTAATGGTAGAATATGTGTGATTCATCCATGTAAGGTAATTGTCGTCGTTGAGTTTGTACGAAATGGTAGAGGAAAAAGTTTGCGGAATGAAAGTGGATACAAAAGCCATTGATGCAAATCTATAAAGCTGATACCATGTAAGAAGAGGTTAGGGAAAGAACTTTCAGAGAGAGAGAGAGATATGTGAACTAAAATTGTCTCTATACTATTTTTCTGAAAAAATAATCACAAGTACAATCCCTTTTTAACAGAGAGATTGTGTACAACTATATCCTAATAACGCTATATTGATTTTCTAATTACAATACAATAAATGCTAATACAACCTAAGATTTATACAACAGAATGCTAACTAGTCGTAAATGTGGTTATCCTTATCATTAAGAAATACTGAGAACTTCTAACTTATAAACACATGTAAGGATAAAATATTACTCAATTCATTCTATTTTATCTTTTTTTTTTCTCTATTATCAGTGAAACCTCTTATTACTTTAATATCTTCTTTTGTTTACCAGTGATATTGACTATTTGGTTAACATGACATATAAACTCGAGTGGTAACGAGATTAATAATCAATTTTGGTTTATGATAAAAAAATCCACAAAAGAAAAAATTTTGAACATATAAACTCAAAGTTTAAATGTAGCAATAAATTAATCTTGATTTATAACAAAAAAAAACTCATGAAATTTTTTTTTTCAAATTTCATATTTGTAATTTATACTTTGAAAAACTATTATAAAAATCATTCCACATGTGACACTTAGAGAGCAATTAAAACTACACTCAAGTTCATCCACTTTAGATAACATACTTGTTAGAGCTATTTGAATGACTTTTTAAAATTATGCAGAACATTCTCCAAGGTATTTTTTTTATTGTAGCAAGTGCTTTAATATATTGAAAAAATAATTTCTAAATTCTTTTTTCTCATTATCAAAAATATATTTAATGTGTAAAATAATAAAAAAAAATACTTTTGTCTTTAACGAAAAAGAATACTTACTTTATTCTTCTAAAAGATTTCATTCTTTTTCAACATTCAAGCTTGTTTGATACCCTTTTCTTGTAAACCACCAATAAGTGAAAGCAATCAATGTCTTATTAATAGTGTTAGTTCATAGATTTGTTATTTTGTTTGCTTTGTTTTTTTCAAATGATATTTTAAATTTATTAAATTTAAAACACTTAATAAATTTTTAAATATCCATACAAAATTTATCTGAAGTTTAATGCTTTTCATTTGTCAAAATTTTTAAGGTGATTCTAACAAGATATTATTTCATTGTTTAAATATATTATGATAAAAATGAAACAAATATTTTATTGCATTGTAACAAAGGAGTATAATAAATTATATACTGAATTAAACCTTTTATGGGAACAAATAAAATTATTTTATAAAATACATAAGTTATTCTTTGCATATCAGCTAAGGACTTAACACAAAGAAAACTATGACGGTAATATTATACTATTTTTTGTGTGAATCTAGGTTGATCTAATTTTTTATTTTTAAATTTATAGATTTTATTTAAATATTATGAATCTAATTTTTTCTTTTAATAGTTCTATCGATCTAATTTTAATTTAATTAAATAGATATTCAAATATGACATCATATTCTAAATTAATAAAAAATCAACCTAAAAATGAATACATAATTTACATTTCATTAAAAAAAAGTTGATAAAGGACTTATTTTTGTGTTTCTTTGATATAGAAATTAATATGATAACGCATGTTGATACAAGGGACAAATCAAAATCGGAGTTTACTTGTTTATAACTTTTAGTTTGAACTGAATATATATATCCTATGTCAGTGATAAAAGTAGTCATGTATCTGAAAAGAAAACGTTATCCAAATATGCAAAATTCACTTTAAATAATCTTGCCTTTAAAAAGATTTATGTTTCACTATGGGTTGGTATCTTAGGGCACTTAAAATAAAAAAAGCTTACCAAATTCATGTTAATTTGACTCCTTAAATGGATTTCTCGAAAAGAAATAAAATAAATCCTTAAAGAACGATGAATATTCTCTTTAAGAAAGATCTTTAATTTAATATCTTTTAATATAAAATATAAATGAATATATGTATATGTTTAATATACTAATATTCATTTATTTTTATAAAAAATAATTAAAAATGAACAATTTATGCATCCTCAGGCAATGAAGTGGACCAAACGTCCAAAAAAAGTGGTATGATTATTGAGGAGGCTCTATTTTTTATATAGAAAAATTACTAAAATATAATATTTATATTTCGAATATAAAAAAGTAAAGCAGTTAGAGATAAAGAAAGCAATATTTTAACATTATTTTTGCATTCATGAAATTTTTTTTCCCGAAAATGGCGGCTGAGCGAGTGGTCATAATAATGGGCCAGTTAGAGCTAGAAATGTATCCACAAAGTGAGGCACTCTATAAAGGCATAGTAGTCTTATCTAATGGTCAATACAAAGAAGAGTGGAAGTAAGCAAAGTTTTACTTGCGGAGAAAACAACACCGTGTTTGGTTCTTTCTCTTTTTTCTTTGCCCAAAAAGTTGAAAGAATAGAGGGGCAAAATTGAGAGCGCATTTCCTTCTTCAATAAACTTACTTACAATGGAAGAGGGAAGGGTGGTGAGTGAGTACACTCAAGATGGAACTGTGGATCTTAAAGGGAAACCCATTCTCAAATCCAAAAGCGGTGGTTGGAAAGCTTGCTCCTTCGTTGTTGGTATCTCTCTCTCTCTCTCTCTCTCTCTCTCATATGTCATTTTCATCTTTTTTAAAACATTAATTTCAAAAGTAATTTCACAAAACATTTAGAATCCTTTAGCCTTATGATGTTGTGATGACAAGTGACAAACCCTTTCCTCCCAGAGACCTTTTAGAACCAAACATGCTTCTTTCTGTCGTGTGTTCCCTTCAGCATCGCACACCTCCTTTAGCATATGTTATAAAATAGTATTATCCAATTTATTACAATAATCTTAACATTCTCTTTTTTGACTCGTTTTAAGTAAGCCAAGTGTATAAATATGTTTTAAATCACAAATATATTAGTATAACAAGTAATTATAATAAATAAATCTTATTTTTCTAAGTGAACTTATTACACAAATCACACTCATCGAGTTAAACTCGATCTTGATTCATGTATAAATTATAGTCTAACACAGTTTTTCTTCTGCTTGAGATAGCGAGTTAACTTATTAATTAAATGTTTATTATCAAAATAGCTGTACCTTGTTGATGTGATAAATTATATATATACATAAAAATTTCTCTCTCTATGTATATATATAGTGTTATTTATATAGCACATATATGATATTGAGTGAGTTGATTATCTTGGTTTTTAAAGCTTAGTGCACTTAAGGGGTTGCTACATGCAGTTGAGAATAGGTTTTGTTTCTTAATCTACTTTGTGACCTATTCCAGCTAGCTAGTACTTGAAAATTAATGAAGGAGTGAATTTCCTGACGCAGAGGTAGGTGGAGATGGTAGCATATGATATATCTTCTGTCTTCTGTCCTTCGTTGTGCCCTTTTCTTTCACGTACTACAACAGTCATTTTGAAATTTTAACATTGCTGTTAACGTTTACTTAGGTTATGACTATTTATGTAACTACAATATAAATATTTTTTCTACTGTATTTTCAATCACACTATTAAAAAATATTAAATGTTTTATTAAATACTTTAAATTATCATAAAAATATATTTTTAATATTTTTTTATAATTTTGAAATATTTTTATTTTAATAAATTTCTATTCTTATTTTTTAATATGTCACACATTAAATAAATTATAAACTATTTAATTACTTTAAATATTATACCATATAAAAAAAGCTTTAAAATTTTTTAATTTAATTTACTATTTCATTCGCAATCTCTTTCTAAAATTTTATAGCTAGTAATTAATTTGTTAAAAATTATTTACGACTAATTGATTTGGCGGTTTGTAAGTAAATTAAGTAATATATTACTACCTTAAGTTTTATGTATAAAAAATAACTATTAACATTTTCTACTTTTAAATATAATAAATAAATAAAAATAAATAATTATTATTACTATTTTTTATATTTTTATTTATTATAAAATTTGTGCTAATAAAGTATTTACCTTTTATGTATAAAAGTAATTCCAATTTTATCATTTAATACTATAAATAAAACATAAATTTATAACAGACGAATATTTTTTATTTATCTTGATGAATTAAGTATTTATTTTTTATAAATAAAACCGGTAGTATTAATATTTACTTTGACGCATCGTTAAAAAATTAAACTTAAGTTTGCAGTCGATATGATGGTTTATTGTTTAAATAATTAACCACAATTGTAGGGCGATAGAAAAAAGTTTAAATGATACATTATGAATCAAACTTTAATACATGAAATTAATGACAATTGTAAGGGGATAAGCATTTCACTTCACATATTACAAATTGAAGCAGATAGTTTATTAGTATCTCATTTCAATTCAACTGGTTAACGATTTTGATTTAATTAACAAGTTAAGCAAGAGCTCTTGCAATATTATCCAAAGGGGCTTAGTCTTATATTCATTCAAAAAAATTCAAAATTTCAAATGATGTAAAAGTACCATGATAGAAAGTACATAACAGTGGTTTAATTTGGTGGTCATGCCTCTACGTATAAATATAGCAATTATATATATCATTTTACTGATTGCTATTCCACGTATATCTTGTACATATGTTTATAAAAAGTTTAACATATAAAATCAAAATATATTACTAATTATACATTAAAAAATCAAAGTAAACAAATACTATTAAAATTTGTATGATTAAAATTAAAGATAATAAAAAATATAGTTTTTAAAATTTATAGGGATTATTTAATAATAAAGCTTAATTAATTCTATATTATTCATAAAATAAATTTTATAGATTTATTTATTTGTTCGCATAGAAATGATGCTTGTATCCCTTTAAAAACGAAAGTGTGGTAGAATTTACTTTAATAAGAATAATGTAGAAGGGCTTACTAAAGTCTACACAGTTTTACTTGTTTTTCTGCCTCTTACAAAGCAAATATATTAGAGACCGACCATTATTATGTTGATAGGTTTGTTGTCATTTTTATTTAAATTTTGTTTATGCAAAATATTTTTATTATTAATTTGATTAAATAAAAGGATATTTAAAAAAAAGTTGTTTAAATAAATGTGACAATAAATATTTTAAAATGAAAAGCTAAAATATTATATCTCCCATTTTAAATTGCATAGGTTTGGTTTGATTTGTGATGTAGTGTACGAGATATTTGAAAGAATGGCTTACTATGGAATATCATCAAATTTGATATTGTATCTGACAAGGAAGCTTCACCAAGGGACTGTGACCTCTTCGAACAATGTGACTAATTGGGTTGGAACCATTTGGATAACTCCCATCTTAGGAGCCTACGTTGCTGACGCTCGCCTTGGCCGCTATTGGACTTTTGTCATTGCCTCCGTCATCTATCTACTCGTATGCCTTTCTATCTCATTCCCATTCTCTCCACTTACATTTCAATATTATCATATTCTCATACACAACTACATCATTCAGAGGTCATTTTAAGACATGCACGCTTCAAATAACTCATTCTACCATTTAATGTGTAAGACAACGTGTGTATTACTATAATAAATCCATTTACTAGTTTTTCTTTTTAATCCTTATCTTAAATGTTTATTGGATTCTTCAACCGCCAAATGAATAGAACAGACAGTCCACGCAGCACTCCAATGACCATAATGCATTCACTAAAGGTATTTAATTTGGACATGTCTACCGTCAACCTTAACAATTTATCCTCATTTTTATTTATATGATTATTTTAAATATTTTTTTATAATGGTGTTAATAATAAAAATATTTATTTTATATAAAATAAATGAATAAAATTAATAGTAAAACAAATAAGAGCGACGATAATTATCTCCTTAAGCCATCAACTCAACTTTCTTAAAACTTTAATGTATTTAAGGATGTCTTTTAATTTTTTAAGACTCCGTCTGTCTTTGAATCTTCTTTCTTTTTTATTTTCTCTTCTCAACCAAATAGTTAAAAACCATTTTCATTTTTGTTTTATTTTCTTTATGCTATTTTTACCTTAAATAAACGAAGGCTCTCGAAAAGTAACCAATGTCATTTTTTAAAATAATTTTTCTCAATTACTTACACTTTTTATTATTTCAAAAAATAAATACTTTTCTTAAATTATATTTTAAAAATTTTATTTTATATAAACTTCATGACACCGAGTAATGTATCACTTACTCGTGTTTAAAAATATAAAGTAAGAATTGTTGCCAATTGATTACTTAGTCACCCTGTGTTCACCTCTTTTGAATTTGGTTCATGAGTCAGAACAGGACTGTGATGGCAACAAGACTGGACCTCATATAAACCCATCCAACCCTGCCCCGTTGCCATCGCTAGAACAGGACAAGGTGTTTTGTTAAGAAGTGAAAGGACATTTTGCTATATATCTAGTATTAAGAATCCAATTAACACATATGTATTCACAACAAGACATGGAATCACTTCATAATAAATGTTAGAGACATAAAGGCCACCATTATACCCATATGAATTTGTTACAACCTACAGCCCATTTTATTTATCTTGAATCCAAAACCTCATGTAGCACCAACCACTTCCACTCATTTTGATGGTTATGGTATGTGTTTACTTAAGGATGAGTTGCCTTGTTAAACCTCCAAGTGTTATAAATTATTCATGTGTATTTTGAAATGGCAGGGTATGTGTCTACTTACACTATCAGTGTCCCTTCCAAGCCTAAAGCCACCTGAGTGCCTTGAAAGGGATGTCACAAAATGTGAAAAAGCCTCCACACTACAGCTAGCTGTATTCTATGGTGCACTCTACACTCTTGCACTTGGAACCGGTGGAACCAAGCCTAATATTTCCACCATTGGTGCTGACCAGTTTGATGACTTTGACTCCAAAGAGAAGAGGCATAAACTATCTTTCTTCAATTGGTGGATGTTCAGCATCTTCATTGGGACCCTCTTTGCAAATTCTGTTCTAGTTTATATACAAGACAATGTGGGTTGGACTCTTGGGTATGCTCTTCCCTCTCTTGGGCTTGCAATATCCATCATAATATTCTTGGCAGGCACACCCTTCTATAGACACAAATTACCCACAGGGAGCCCTTTCACTAAAATGGCCAAGGTCATAGTGGCTTCTATAAGGAAATGGAAAGTGCCCATTCCCAGTGACTCTAAAGAACTATATGAGTTTGATGTGGAAGAATATGCAAAGAAAGGAAAAGTCAGAATTGATCACACTCCAACCTTGAGGTCTAAATTCTATCTTAATTTCTTAACTTCGTGTGTGATTTTAATATATGAAATGTTAGTGTTTTTTTGTGAATGCGTGCTTACTAACACACATATATATGTAGGGGCAGAGCTACCTCATGGATGGGGTAGCCATGAATACCCCATAGATTTCTCAAGACTTTTGGCGTAAATAAGATAAAGATCGTTGGCTAGCTATTGCTTACAACAATAAACAACAAAACTGCTGTGAATGGGAAACATTAATAAACTAAAATGTTTTCAGCCTTGTTAATTAGTACCCTTAGGAGATTGGTTAAAAAAATTAAAATTGAAATAAACTGTGTTAAATTTCATTGAAAATAATGGGCATAGATGTATTTATTACATTCTCTAACAAAAAATTTTCTATTTTTAGTTCCTTAAATAGCGTTCTAACTTCTAAGGACATTGATTAGCATCCGCCAAATGTTTCTAATGTTATTATGCATTTTTTTTGTTTTAAAGTTGGTTGAATTTATTTTAAATGTATGTTTATCTTTTATTGAACATCGATTTCTACAAAAGTGAAAAAAAAGGCATTGTCATACTATATCTTCTAGTTGGTTTTGTGAACTTTGTTTTGCAAGCGAGAAACAAATGCACCAAAGAGGAGTACTAAGATCATAGTCTCTATTAGGTTTTTAATGATTAATTAAATTTTATTAAAAATTATAAAACTATGAGAAAGAATAATTAATTAAAGAGTGAGACTTACAGAAAATTTTAACTAATAACAAATAGTACGTTGCTAGCATGTTTTGTATGTCCAAATTCATCTCAATCACTGATTTTACACTAAATCGGATCATGTACCACATTATAGGAAATTGACTTACATGTTATCCAAATGGGTAACCCCAGTACAGTACATCTTTAATTATTCAAAATTTCGTTGATTAAGTAGTTTCACTACCCTAATAAGTATTGTCTAGCTCTGCCTCTTTATATATGTAGGTTCCTTAACAAGGCATGTGTGAAGACTGGTTCAAGTACTACTCGTGCATGGATGCTAAGCCCTGTTACCCACGTAGAAGAGACCAAACAAATGCTCAGAATGATCCCCATTTTGGTTGCTACCTTTATTCCCAGTGCAATGGTTGCTCAGATAAGTACCCTTTTTGTGAAGCAAGGAGTTACACTTGATAGAGGCATTGGCAGCTTCAATATACCCCCAGCTAGTTTTGGCACATTTGTGACACTGTCCATGCTTATATGTGTAGTGCTCTATGACCGTTTCTTTGTCAAGATTATGCAAAGGTTGACCAAGAACCCCCGAGGCATAACCCTTCTTCAAAGGATTGGAATTGGCCTCATAATCCACATAGTGATTATGGTAGTTGCATCTATGACTGAAAGGTATAGGCTTAGAATGGCCAAAGAAAACGGGGTAGTTGAAAATGGAGGACAAGTTCCTTTGACCATATTCATATTGCTTCCTCAATTTGTTCTTATGGGAGTTGCTGATGCATTTGTAGAGGTTGCAAAAATTGAGTTTTTCTATGACCAAGCCCCAGAAAGCATGAAGAGCCTTGGCACTTCCTATTCAATGACCACCTTAGGCATTGGGAATTTCCTAAGTACTTTTCTTCTCTCTACAGTTTCACATGTCACTAAGGAACATGGTCAAGGTTGGGTTTTGAACAACTTGAATGCAGCTCATCTTGATTACTACTATGCACTTTTGGCTATACTAAACTTCCTCAACTTCATATTTTTCCTGGTTGTGGCAAAGTTTTATGTATATAGAGCTGAAGTTTCAGATTCCATAAAAGTGCTTGCTGAAGAGATGAAGGAGAAAACGGCCATTGTGTCAAACCAAGTGATTACAAGAGAGTAATTAGTTGATGAAAATTAATTTGGGGTAGTTTTGTTCATTTGGATGCCATTTCATGTTTTAAGTGATTTTAATTGAATTAGTTATTGGAGTATATGTCATGGCATAAGTTATAGGATCTTAACGTGTGATTATTTGGATATTGGACCTAACCTGTTTAGTCTTTAAGAAACGTCACATACATTGTGTAAGGAACAACGTAGGAGAAGGAAGTATTTTATTTTTATTTTTCCTTTTATCAATGTGTACGCTTAAATACCTATTTGATACCTATTAATGAATATTTATGTTAGTATTTTTTTTAATGCTTTTTCTATTGGAAGCTGTCGAAAACAATATTTTTTTTCCTTCAAATTAAACCATGCAGGTTTTAATTTTTTTTAAGGTAAAGTTGCATATTTTAAATTATACAAACGCATTATTTTTCTTTTTATAGATCCTTCGCCATATATATGATCCCTCTATGATATCTGAATTGCAAGTTGTCCATCTCTCTCAACGTGGAGTTTTGCTGGATTTAACTAATGTCGATGTTACTAAATTAGAGGACACTAAAATAAATTATAGCTTTATTTTGAGGGATTACAATATGCTAACCATTAAATTCAGAAGAAAATTTACACAAACATGTGCATGTCAAATTTATTAATACTTGTCATTAAATTTAGATATTTGGATTATTTATTTATTTTATAAAAATATAAAATTAATAAATTTAATTGTTGATTTGAAAATTTTAGATTAACTTTATACAATTTTATAAAAAAAATAAAATTAACAAAGTTTAGTATAATATTTGCCTAACAATTTTTATTTTTAGATTAAGTCCAGTATCTGTCAGTCGACTTCATTTTTAGTCAAAGTCTAATATTATTTTAATTTCTCTCACATTGTCTTATCTTTGACATTTTTATGTATTTTTTAGTTTCACATAAAAATTGATTTATTTTTTTACTCAATTTTTATTGCTCTAATATGAAAGTATCTTTATACTTATTTGATAAGAATTAAATAAATAGAGGCAACTGTGAATACTGATTATTTGTTTGAATAATTTTTGGGCTTATTTGGTGTATGGAATTAGAATTAGAGTTCATAATTGTAATTTTAATTCCAATTCTATCAAAATTAGAATTGGTTCAAAATTATAAGTTTACGGTTGATGTACTTAGAGAATTAAAATATAGAATTAGAATTATAAGTTGAAATCAAATTCTATAGTGTGGATATAAGATTTAATTTTAAAAAAAATAATTTAATTTTGCATTAAAATTTTATTTAATAACTTTTTAAAAAATAAACTTTATATTTCGATCACACATTCCTAACACATTTGTAGTGATTTGTTATTTTTTGTTCCTATATTTACCTTGGTCTTTAAATGGAACAGTAACTAAGACGTGTTCCATCCAAGGCTCCAATGCAATCCTGTCAATATGTGATTAATATCAAATTTAGTGTATAATGTCGTTCTCAAACTATTTAATCTAAGTAGCATAGATCTTACCAAAACCCACTTCCACTTGTTATCTTCTACAACTTTATCTGTAGGGGGTGAATATTTGATATATTCTTTGGTTGGGCCAATAATTGCTGCTAGAACTTCACAAAAGCGTTTACTAATAGTCTTTATGGAATAAATATAAGTGCCTTTGAGAACTCTCATTTTGAGACCATGAGTTAAAATAAATAAAAATATTGCAACTAATTTTTCTATGCTTACATGATAAGTATTATGTAATCTTTCTCTTTCACGTAAAATGCTGCAAAGCTAAAAAAAAAAAAATTGTTTAATTAGACGTAATTGATTATAGCAATTTTCATCAGCCCCATGATATAATTGCCTCAAAAGTATAATTTTTGTGTCTTTATTACTCTCCTCTATTGGCTCTCTAAGTACATTTCTTTATTTATACTATAAAGCTATTGTGACCATTGTAATAACTGTTGCATCTACCACTGACTTTTTTTTTTCTTTCTCTTGTATTCTCAACAGTTCTTGAATTAATTTCTAATATTTTCTCTATCTAACAATTTAAGAAAGATGTAAAACAAAATTTATTATAAAATTAACATAAACAATATAATTTGTGTCAAATGCAGAAAAATAATACAATATAATTTGTCGCAAGTGTAGAAAGTGCATAATAATAATACATATACTTTGCAGTAAGTGAAGAATAACAATATGATACAGTAACAAGTTCTTATCACCATCTTCCTTCTCCCATCACAAACTCAATTCCTTTGCGGGTTCAATCTTAAAACTAGCACCATTAATCTTGCTTATGCTTAAAACTAGGACCAATTTAATCATCATAAGCTCCTTATTCACCATCCAAATATACCAATAAGCCACCACAAGCATAACAAAACTCAACCACATACAAAAAATGTGATCTCATCCACACTATCATCACCTCTATGAGTCATCTTAGTCATTGTTGCCAACATCATCTTGTCCTAACCATTGACGCTTGCAAGCTTAAATTTCATTTTAGTTTTTGCATGTAGGAACAATTGAGAACTTGTACATTTCATGTGTTTTAATGAAGACAATTCACAAGCTAGGTTTTAGAACTATGTTAGGGTCAAAAATAAAATAAAGGTAAGAATTGAAGAAAATGATGATTTTATTGATCACTAGAAAGAATAAGGATACAAAAGAATCTCTCAAAGCTAATAGCTCCAAAGAATGAAATTCTCCCCAAAACAACCAACAAAATCAATAATACCTCAATCAATAAAATAACTCTATTTATAGAATCTATCTTAAAAACTAGCAATATTAACTGTCATGACACCTTTTATAGATAATCAATGACATTCCACATTACTCTTCTTAATTCCCTTAATCATTTATTAGATATTGCATACACAAGTTCAAGAGTATAAACTTATCACCATTTGTAATTTGACATTCACTTTGATAAAATAACAACATTCCATAACTTCCTTTGTATAATATCAAAATTTTACATAAATTTATATATTTACAACAAAGATTTAGCTAAGGATTCAAAATACAGATGTTCGACATATAATTACATTCGTTAATAAATTAGTAACTAACAATCTAGACCTAATACTCAAATCTAGACCAACAAAATGATTAACTCCATGCTCTTCCAAAATGCTAACTCTAATGTCTCTCAGTCAGACCTTCCAACTTGAGAAGTAGATGCATTCCCTGTAACTTCTGCTCACGTACCATCGTACGATCATTGCAACACATATATACCAACACAACAAAATGCAATGGTGAGCTTATATAAATTGACAACCTCATTAAGGAAATATGAATGAATATAGATAAAATTATTTAAACAACTCATAACAATCAGCACACAGCATTACACTGCTTCAATAAAATAATACAGTATGTCAAGTCCATTCCTAGCCAATCTATTGCAAATGCAGCAATTCAGTTTCTATCTGGTTTCACAGCCTAAGTAATCTAAAGGAACTATTCCAGTTTGGGAGTGACCCATCCCGGTATCTGGATCTAGATACAGCACAACTCAATGTCCTAGGCAGCTCTAGGATGATAATGATAAATGTGATGTAGTACAACTAAATAAGCATATCACAGCACAACAAATCTTTTAATTTAAGTTTCAGCGGTACAGCAAAATCAACAATTTCATTCAGTAAAATCTTTTATACCTCGCCTGAGTGAGATTGAGTCCAGAGAGCACCCTATTTTTCCTGCAACTCCTCGCCTGAGCGAGCTCTATCTCGCTTGGATGAGTTGCTCTCAGCCTGAGCGAGACCTCTTTCTCATTTGAGCGAAAGGACAGTTGGGGCAACATTATCTCATCTCGCTTGAGCGAGATCCATCTTGCTTGACCGAGAGGGTCCCAGAATGTTCTCCTTTAGAAAATCACGTGTCGCTTGAGCGAGATACCTTTTATCCAAATTCCTATTTTTCCTATCCAAGAGTAGCAAAATTGAGGATGTTACATTAACGAAGAAAGATTATTAATATGCATGTTTGATGGTTTGGTTAATTGATTATATTGTATAAATATGAAATATATGATAAAAAAAGTATAATATTATAGTTAAACAAGTTTGATAAATGTACTGAATGTGATATGACCTTATTGTTGAGATATGTTTGAAAATGATGAATATGTCATCGATAATTGGTTGAATGATGTGATTATTGAGAAATATGGAATTAGTCTATAAGTGCTATTAAGCATAATTTTATGATTTGATTGTGAAATGAATATAAGCACTAAATGAATTGGTGTAAATAGTTATAGAGATACACTTGGGTATAGAGTTTGGAGACGATAAGGAAATCTTGGATAAATGTAGGATGGTGAGTGACATTCGTAATTGTGCACATATTATTATTAAGTGCAAATGAGCCACATGGCCTCACACTCGTTTCTCAACTAAACTCCTAACTGTGCCTTTGCTAAGGGGCTCGTGATTGCATACATTGTATCCGTATTACATGAGCTAACTGACAACTATTTACATGATTGAGAAAGACCTAGAAAACTACTAGAGGTATCGAATGACTGTAATCACAGTGCACTTAAAGTGCGAATTTGGGAATGGAAATGTCAATGAGGTTGCATGAACATGTATGATGAATGAGATATATGATGTGTAGTATAATTTGTCATTTAATTGTATAATCATAATATGGTTATGATAAATGTTATAATATATCTGCGTTATATAGTAAAAATAGAATAAACGCTCACCCTTACACCACTCTACAAGTAGTAAAGATGACAACACCTCCCTGCGGATTGATATAGTGGATGTTTATGCTAGTAGTAGATTAAATTATATATTTAGGGAATATAGACGTGTTGTACATTTATATTTTAGAGTATATTTTAGAAATGATGAGGAGTACACATTAGAAGTAGTCTATAATTATCCGGTTCCTTTTGATTTTCTTACTAGTGGTTAAATTCATTAGTCTCTTAGTTTTTATCCATATCAGGGAATATAAAAGCATTCTCAGATCATGAATGATGTATTTACTTATAATAATCACGATTTTCTAGGGAGACTTAATAGCTATACATTTGATAGGTTCCCTAGTATAAAAATGATAGCGAACTCTAGTGACACCTATCTTAGAGAGAATGATGAATTAACCACTGAAAACTTGGCAGAAACTAAGGGTTGGCATGGTATAGATGAGTAGTTTCAAATCCTCAGTATGGAAAATGTGTATGAACTGCTATAAATTTTAAAATATTTTTGGTAATGATATGTAAATATAATATACTATGTTGTGATTAAAATCTTTCAACATGTAAATATTGACT